TTTTTTTTTTTTTAAGATTTTATTTTTAAGAAATCTCCATACCCAACATGGGGCTTGAACTTACAACCCTGAGACCATGAGTTGCATGCTCTACTGGGGCACCTGGGTCGCTCAGTGGGTTGAGTGTCTGACTTCAGCTAAAGGTCATGATCTCATGGTTGGTGAGTTCAAGCCCCACACTGGGCTAGCTGCTGTCAACCTGTCAGCACAGAGCCAACTTCGGATCCTCTGTCCTCCTCTCTCTGCCCCTTCCTGGCTTGCATTCTGCCAAAAATAAATAAATATTTAAAAGAGTTTCATGCTCTACCAACTGAGCCAGTCAGGTGCCCTTTTCCTCTTTTTCTGACCAGGCTGACTTGGGGTTTGTCCATTTTATTGATCTTTGACAAACCAGCTTTTAGTTTCATTGATTTTCTCCACTACTTTTCTCTTTTCTGTTTCACTAATTTCAACTCTGATCTTTATTATTTCCTTTCATCTGCTTACTTCAGGTTTCATTTGCTCTTTTTTCTAGTTTCTTGAAATGAAAGCTGGGGTCATTGATTTGCTGTGGAAAAGTAAATGCAGTCCCTGCTATTCCATCCTGGCTGGAAACAGAAGTTTATAGCTTCTGTTTTTAATTGGTAGACCATCAGAGTTTGTTTTGGTGCATTCATGAATTATGTATGTGCCACACCAATTAAAAGTATGTGTCTGCTCCATCAGTTTCTTAATAAGGATTTTGTTTTATCATGATGCTATAGTCCACTAAAATTTGTATTTATATATTCACTGACTCCACAAATAATTTCCCTTCCAATGAACTACCTTTTAAAATAAATTTACATTTGCATTCAGAACACAGTAAGATTGTCCACTTTTGAAAGAATGAACTTCAAAAAACTTTTTTAAAGCCAAGAACTGGCTAAAAAAAAAATGGAAATGATTGAAATACACTTGTTTTCTCCTTGAAACTATCTGATGATGATATACAACTACCATGATTTAACTTTTTGCAACGTTTTTCTGCTAATGTGGCCAATCCATTAATAGCAATTACTTTTAATTTGTGGTAGTGTAAGAAGACGCAGTTACATATTCTTTTATGCATGACTTTTATAATCATTTTCAATTCTAAGTTTTCTATACGTATGGGACTGAAGCAATAACTGTTAATGGAGTGGATTAATTTAAAAACAAACTTGCCTAGTATAGTATTTCTTAAAGTTAACTTTACTATATCATAATAGCTAAGGTTTTAAAGGTAAGTTTTATGGCTAAACCTACAGACATCTCAAACTCAATGTCCAAAACTGAATTTTCTCATCCATCAAGCTTGTTCTCTTATACTTCACCTGCCATTCAAGCTAGAAACTATGGAGTCATTTTCCCCTTTTCCCCTACATCCAGTCAGTCAGCAGTCCTATTGATTTAAATATAGCAAAATTATTGCAATTACCTCCTCCTCTTTAACCTATTAGTTTATGTCAAGCTAATCACCTGACTCCAACCATTTTAAGAGACTTCTAGCTTCTCTGGCTTCATTCCACTCCACCCTGCACACTACACTTGGTAAACCTTTTTTAATTATAAAAATGTCATTTCAGCATTCCAGTATCTTTGACAGTTAAGTCCCCAGTAACCACAGGGCAATCCAAACTATACAACTCAGCAAACAATCTAGCCTCAGTTTAGTTTTCAACTTCAGATTGAAATATTCCTCTGGTCTGTCACATACATTTTTAGTCACTTTGCTAGGTGTTTCCTATGCCATATACTTTAACATTACTACTGTTTATGTTTTTCCTTCTGCCTGTGCTCTTCCATGACCTGTGTTCCCGTTACATTCTGTACACACTCTAACACAGCAATTAATACACCATATTAGTTGGAGTGTCAGATCTTTAGAGGAGCACTCGTGGTTCATTCACAATGAAAATTCCCAAACCCTCCCAGTGTGCCTAAGAACATACGCTTGATAGGTAAACATACGTAGGTAAACAAACGTAGGTAAACATATTCTTGATAAATTATATTCCAAACATTCAGCTATGTACGATAGTATCTATATCAACGTTTAATTTTCATCTCCAGTACAAGTTTTAACATAATAGCTAGAATTAATAATACTTGAAAAAAAAAAAACGTAGCCATAAAAATAAACTTACTGCCCAAAGAAAAGGATGGGAACAAGAAGGGCAGGAAAGGATAAAAAGTGAAATATGCTGACTATTTAGGATGTAAGACAAGGAACACAGCCAGAAAAAAAAAAAGCTGAGGAAAGCATGTGGCCTCTGGTCTAGAGCACTAGCTCAAGAAACCACTTTACCGGAAGCCAAAAAACGATCAGGGAGAATAACCGCGAAGTGGCTCGTCAGTCCCACGCAGTGAGCCTGTGGGAACGTCCGCAGAACTAATCACACACTCAAGGTGTTCGGCTTTGAGTAACTAGAATCTCGGGTTCCTGCGCGGCTTGGGCCATATACCCTACCGTGGAGGAGGCACACCCTAGGTTTTCTTGCAGAACTGATGGCCCGAGACGTGCACCTGGGCACACCTGCCGGGTATAGGGAGCGCTCCGCAGAAGAGCGATGGTAGAGAGGGAAAGATACACACGGAAGGGCGGGGGCGGGGGGAAGCGCTCCAGTCAATTAAGCAAGTAACTGCCGAGTCCTGAGGATACGACAGTGCACAAGGCAGATACGATCCCTGCCCTCGTGATGTGGAATCACTGCGGAAACGCGACTGCCCAGGACTGAAACGGGGACGAGAGCCCTCCGCGATCCAGGTTTCCAGAGTCGCTTCCCTTCAGACGCGAGGCGGCGGTGACCGCAGAGAACCACTCTATGCCCAGCCTGGGCCTCCTCCCGTGACCCCCGGCCCAGGACGGTCCCCTTGGCTCTCACCGAATCCTTTAATGAGCTCGGTGAAGACCCCGGGGTCGCTTTCCATGAGGCACCACTCCCCGGCATTGCCCGTCATGGCCCCGGCCACACACCGCCCCGCTCCACCTAAGGCTCTGGCCGCCCCCCGCACCAGCTGCCGCCGGGCACTGATCTCTGCAAACCCGCCGCTGAGCTCGTCAACCCCACGTCACCCCGCCTACTTCCCGACAGCCTCCGGGCGCCGTCACCTGCAGCGCGACTAAGCGCGGGAGGACGCTCTAGCCACCCAAGAGACAGTGAAACTCTTCCTAGGCCGTGCAGGACCCGTAGCGGATTCGGAAGGGGCCGGGGCCTAAGAAGAAAGGGCGGGGACTCAGTACGCCGGAGGAGGTAACATCCGGGATCCTCGCCAGTCTGGAGCGAGGGCGGGGCAAAAGTAGAGGGGCGGGGCTCGTTCCCGGGAGCCGAACCTGCAGGCCCCGGCGTTAGTGGAGTTGGAGCAGTTACCGCCCTACGGGCTGCAGCAGCTTCTACTCGTTTTCCCGCGCCTCGCAGGGCTTCTCCCAGTGGCGCTGCGGGTTCGGAGGGTCGGCCGGCAAGCACAGGTGAGGAAACTGCGGGAGGCCGACTGGGGCCCTTTGTGCGGTCTGAGCGGCCCCGGGGACGCGCAAGGTTTAGCTCATCCTCCATGTCCCTTATCCCGCATCCCTGCGACCGAGGCCGGAGCAAACACTTCGCCAAACCATCGTTCTCCACCGCCCTGCCTCCGCTTCCTGCCCTTGCTGGGTAACGAAACCAGCATCGCTGTGGGCACAACCTCGCTTGGCCAGGCTGAGACGCTCCCCAGGGTGGGCCCTTCCCGAATCCCGGACCGCTCCGGCTTGTGCTTCCATAGCTTCCCACAGGCCAGCGTCTGGAGTGCCCGCTTTACTCCTCCTCTTCCTCCTCCCCCTCCCGCGGCTTCTGCGCCGGGAGGCGTTGCCCCGGCTCTGGGGTTTGGAAGAGGGATTTTGGTGCAAAGACAGAAGGCGAATTTATCCTCGAGGGAATGACGAGAAGAGTGAGATCTGTTCTGTAATCCGTGGGGACGATAGACAAGTGTAAGGGGATGCGATGCCTAAAAGAAAATTAGGTTGAAAAAAACGTAATGTATTAATCGAACATTTGTAATGTTTCTAAGATTAAAGGAGTTAAACCAAAAATGCCTATTTTCGCTAAACCGTGAAAATGCCCTCGTTCAGCAGACCTCTGTTAAGATTATAAATCTTTAAGAGTATGTGTATTTATGCATCACTCCTTAAAGCTCTGAGTTCCAAGAAGGGCCTTTGGCTTCCAGAAAAAAAATGTTTTAGTAGACAAAACTGATTCCTTGCTTCACAAACAGGTGTCCTATGCATCGGAGTTAGCGAGCCCTGTGTTATGGACTAGGTGAAGCCACAAAATTAACATGACAAATATTACTGAGGGAAACAACAGAACAGTTTTTATATTGAAGCAAGCATGGTTATGGGGCGCCTGGGTGGCTCAGTCGGTAGAGCATCAGACTCTTGATCTCCTGGTTGCAAATTAGAGCCCCAAGTTGGGCATAGAGATTACTTAAAAAAAAAAAAAAAAAAAAAAAAGGCCTGGCTATATTGTGGAGTAGAAATCAAAATTTGTATAAAATGTTTGTTTGTTTGTTTTCATTTGAAACTTTTGAAGTTTGTCCCTAGGAGACAGGAAAAAGTTTGTGAGGCACAGGAGTCTAGCTGTATTTCCTTAATGAGCCATACCTAGAATGAGTGTCATTGGAGTCCATAGCTGTTTGTGATAATGTGTGTTATTTTTTAATCTATGATATTGCCATGAACTTGAAAGTGTTTTCTGTGCTGAATAAATACATCATAACTAACATTTATTTATGAACTTGGTGGCTGTGGTAGAAAGACCCCCCCTAACTGAAAAATTAGCCCTTTACACAGCCTAGAAGTAACCAGAAAGGGAGTTTAAATTTTTTTTCACTTATTTTCACATTTAATCCTAAATTTGCATAAAAAATCCAGATTTCTGGGTCTTTGAGGAAAATGAGAAGATTTGGTAATACAAAATGCATACTACATGGCTACCACTTGGCTGAAGATGCACGCCTTCGGGATGGCATGCTGTCATGTTTGCAACAGGTCCTCACCACTTTTTGTTGCATCCCACATGACATGATCAACTCAGGTACACCAGCAGTCTGAATGATAGTTGTTTGACTTTGTGGCCCCAGTTTTTGCAGTATTGTTTCTTTTAAGTTGTCTGGCACTCTCATAGGTGTACATCAGCTTTGACCTCATTTAAAAACGGTTAAGCTGCAAAACTTGTTCGACCTCATGGGAAGAAACATTTTCAAGTAATAAACGGTCAACAGAGTTTGCAAAGATATTCAGATGTGTACATTCAAGAAAAACAGGAATCCTCAAAAACACTGTATTATTAGTACTGTTAAAAGATAACAGTAAACGTTGTTCTAATGAATACAAAGCAGAAAGAACTGCTGTTACATACATACAACAGTGCCCAAGGCAATATGTATATTGTAATATACAATATACATTTTGTATATTAATTACTGGCATTCACTGATTTGGCAGTCAATATTAAGAAAGAAAGAAGTGGGCAATGTATAAAATGTCCACAACCAACTTCCAAATTGTGGCTATGCCTTTAAAAATACTGTGACCTGTTTAATTCTTCCCCAAATTTTAATTTACAGAAGTTTAAAATAACTTCAGCTATATTAGAGTCTTTAGAATGGTGTGCTTTAAGAGCTCTGGATAGGACAGGCCAACCCAAAGAATTAACTGTCTTTTTTTTTTTTTTAATTGTTAATCTGGATTTACAACACTTGATTATTCAGGAGTGGATTAATTGATGACCAGGCTCTGACCTCACTCACTGCCCAACTGCCTTCTAAATCACTGACAGTGGAGCTTAAGCTCCGAGGGGGGAGATGATTGGAGTTGGGGAGAGGAGAAATTAAGATACTGTATATATCTGTGTGTATCTCAAATTGCTTTCTAAAGACAAATCTAGGAAATACCTATAAATAAATAGTTAAGTAGATAAATAAATAGATAAATAGTTAGATAGTTAAATATCATTTGAATGTCTATTTAAATAACTTCCCAAATATAGTCAATTTTTAGTTTTCGTTTAATGACAGATTTTGGAGATAGAATTGACGTGTCATGAAATTCACTATTTTAAGTATGCAATACAGTGAATTTTAGTATATTCACAGACTTGTGTTGACATAGGCAGACTGGGTCCATGGACGCAGAAGGAGTCCTGCAGGACCAGCCAAGAGGATCCTTGGCCTTAGGAAGGATAGACATCAAGTGAGAGCAGAGTTTATTGAAGATACAGAAAGGTGACAGATACAGAGTATCTGAGAGACTCAGAAAGAAGAGTAGAGTAGTCTCAGTTTTGTTTGGGCTCTGGTGCTTTTATTAAGGATTGTGGTCTGGTCCATATGTCTTCTCAGGCATCCAGAAACTGGTCAGAACGAGGAGTGCTCAGGTGTCCGCCATAAGTCACTTGTGCCCTGGAGCCAGGGATCTGGCGGCAGTGTGCCTGGAGTCAGTGTCTGCAACCTTGCTCTTTCACTCCGATCTGTGCTGGAAGACTCCAAAGAAATCATTAGCTCCTTGACCCTTACAGAAAGGGAATACATTTTTTGTACTAGAAGTGTAAAACATGTGTAAGGTGGGGTGCAGGTCCTAGCAAGTGTAGAAGCAGGAAAAGGAGCAAAAACACAGTTTATGGAGTCACTTTAGTTTCTGTATCTCAGTGTGAGCGTTCACCATTGTCTAATTTCAGAACATCTTCATCACCCCGTAAAGAAACCCCGCACCACTTTGGCAATTCTTCAAAAGGTTAAATATAGAGTTACCATATGATCCTTCGTTTTACAATGTATGTGGGTCTTAATTTCTCCAGCTTCTCACCAACACTTCTTATTATTGTCATTTTGATTGTAGCCATCCTAGTGAACGTGAAGTGGGATCTCATTTCAGTTTTGTTGTGCATTTTCCTGATGAGTAATGATATTCAGCATCTTTTTATATATTTATTGGCCATTTGTACATCTTTGAAGAAGTGCCTGCTCAGATGCTTTGCCTGTTTTTTAATTGGGTTATTATCTTATTATTGAGTTATGAGTTTTTTATAAATTCTAGATACAAGTTCCTTATGGTATGATTTGCGTGTTATTTTCTCCCATTCTCTGGGATCTCTTTTCACTTTCTTGAGGAAACACAGATTTTAAATATTGGTGAAGTGCAGTTTATCTTTTTTTTTCCTACTGTCCCTGTGCCTTTGGTGTCTGTTTTGACCCAGTTCTCTGACACAAACTCAGTGTTCCGCAGTTCAGTTCAGTTCAGTTCCAGAGTTAGCTTAAGATCCCACTGATGCGGTTTTAAGTGTTGGGGTTCAGAGCCAACAACCAAGAAAGAATTATTGAGATGTTTTCAATGCAAAAAGGTGGTTTTATTAAAACGCGGGACTGGACCCATGGACAGAAAGAGCTGCACTGGGGTTGCGATGGGTGACTGATTATATATCTTCAGGGGAGGAGGGGTCTAGTCTCGAAGGTATTTTGGAAACAAGGTTTCCAGGACCTTGAGAGGCTAGCTGCTGTTAGGAAAAGGTCATTTATTACTGTTTAGTAAAAACTCAGTAATGAGACCCTTCAGATATCTATCAGGGGACCATAAGCTTGGAGTATGATTGCCAAGATATATCTTGGGGGGGGGGGGGTGGCGGGTAGTAGAGGTAAAGGAAGTTTCCAAAGGAGTTTTTATATGTTAAGTAGACATACGATTCTGGGGGGGTCAGGCTAATAAGATTGCCTTTTGCCCTTAGCAAAGTCAACATCGAGGCAGCTGAGCTCCCAGAGGAATGTCAATCTGCCTGTCTTGAGGACTTGTCAATGGCCTGTAAGTTATAAGGAAATTTAATCTTTTATTCTTCTGCCTTTGTTTCCTACATCACCACAAGTTAAAGGGCAAGATCCCCAACAAGACTACCCTTTCTTGAGACACCTGTTATAAGTAGGGTCTCTAGTCTACGCAACCAACTATAAATTCAGGGCTTCGCACAACCCCCTCAGGGTCAATAATTCACTAGAATGACTCGCATAACTCTCTAAAAACACTATCCTAATGATTACAGTTAAATGATATGCCTGAGGACCAGCCAAATGGAAGCCACCTATAAGCCAAAGTCTGGAGGCAGGAGAGGGATACCCTCTGTGTGGAATCCTGGCTGGTCACACTCCCAGCACATCAGTTTGTTTACCAGTTAGGAAGCACCAGTGAACTTTGATATTCACAGTTTGTATATGGGATTTTATTACTAGGCATGATTGGTTATGATTGGTTGACTGTGTGGTTGAGCCCAATTTTGGGCCCTACAGCCCTCCTGGGAGTTTGATCTGGCCCAAAATGCCAACCCTCTAATCAAATGATTAGTCTTTTTGGTGACCAGCCCCCATCCTGAAGCCCAGAATGAATCACCACATTAGCATAACAAAAAGACTTATCAATCTGGAAATTCCTAGCATTTTTGAAGCTCTGCCAAGAAAAAAACTAGATCTATTCTTTATTATACCGCTGTCTTACCACCTAGACAATTTTAAAGTTAATTTATATATCAGCAGTCAGGTACCAGGAGAGTAGCTTAGAAGTAGTGCCATTCTGCTTTTCATATTTAACTTTAAATTTTTGAGTCTGATAAATTTACACAAGCAAGTAGAGAGGGGCCATTCATGCAATCTGTCCTACTGTTTTATGTTTCATCCTGGAAAGAATAGTCCTAGAACCATGTGAAAAGCTGGGCATTTTTTCCTGTAAAAATGTTGAAAGGGTATGTCTTTATGGTTGTCATTAATACATGCAAGGATAAGATTCCATTGACACAGCTATGAATAAGTAACTACATTTCTTATGGTAGAAATTACAAGGATTACATTTAGGGATTTTTCTTAGGCATCTTCCCTAGATTTAAAAGTTCATTTTGCTGCTTGCTCAACAAGATACTTATACCTGATACTAAATGCGTTAGAAAAACTTTCAAAGAAATACTATTCTCAAAAGACAGTTCTACTTAGTATTCATTACTTCCTCTTCATAACTTCTCATGTATTATTTTTTATTGTATATCCATTTACTGCATATAGTCCTTTTTTTCTAATTACAGAATTTATCTTAAAGGCTGGAATTATATTTTTAATTGCACATGTTGAGACTTATTTTTAAAAATGTTAGAGGAAAGAAAAGGCAATCATACATAATTCTTAGATGGTTCAGAAAATTACTTTAATATTGCTCTGTTATTCTTAAATATATATTACTAATTACTTAAGAGTGATATCCTAGGTTCAGAGAAGGGATACACAACTAAGACCCGGTCCCTGCTCTTAGTGGAACTAAAGATACCAGCCAGACATGCTGACAAAAAAATAATAAGGGAAAGAACTTTGAGATTTGAACTGGGACCTTTAAATCACACTTCTTGGGCTTTGGTTCAGGAAAGCTGTTGTATTAGCATAATTTGATACTGAATATCATTTCTATATTATTCAACTAATAAGCAGCAATAGCCAGGTGAAAGTACTACCCAAGGGTATTTTTGTAAAAGCTAAAGATGGGGCTAGCAATATCAAATGCAGTGCAAAGGTCAAAATAATAGAAAATTTTCTACTGGAATTAGCAGTTAAGGTGTCAGTCTTTGAGAAGCCTCTTATCCTTCTCAAAAGTTTTTTGGATTAAAAGGCAGCTAAACAGCCATGTTAAAGAGGGGGTAAGAATAAATAGCAGAAGCATCATTACTGCAGCAGGAGTTTCAGCCTATGCTGCACTCAGTAAATCAGTCCCTAATGACTAATATAATATGATCATTACACGGTGACACCATCTGAGGCCTAGGCCTCATAATGACACTGATTATTTCCAACACAATTCAAATTACTGTCCCCTGCCCCCAGTCACCTTCAAAATGTGAGGCTTTCCATTCTCCCATGCATTTATCCCCATATCATGATGTGTTCCCCTCTCTGAGACCCAACCTCATGGCTCCCTTACCTGCCAGACTTCCCTCAATCTCCTTATTCCTCTCTTTTCTCAAATCTGTCTACACCCTTAGTGAAAGAGATGTCTCTCTTGCTGTCAGTAGGCCAGTCTCAACCTGGATGCTCTAAAGCTTATTCTGTTTGACTTCTTTTAGTGATCTCATCCCCTTGGTTACATCCTTTACTGTCTTCCACTCCAAATTGAATCATTCCACTTCACCTCAATGTCTTCTCATCTCTCTTACCTTCCCTTTATGCTTCTGTAAAAGAGTAGTCCACTTGTGAAGCCTCCCTCATTGCATACTCCTAATCTCACTTACTTATTTTTAGAGAGGGCGTGTGAGTGGGGGGAGGGATAGAGAGAGAGAATCTTGAGCAGGCTCCCTACCCAGCGCAGAGCCCAGCATTGGGCTCATTGCTGGGCTTGATCTCACAGCTGTGAGATCATGACCTGAGCCAAAAGCAAGACTCCGATGCTTAACCTACTGAGCGACCCTTGCGCCCCTCCTAATCTCACTTTGTTCAGGCTCCTTCTTGCAGGATTCTACAACAATTGCCCTTCTTCATTCACTCCTGTTTGCTAAATCCAGTAGTCATTTTCCAGACTTTACTTCATCTGTGAGCATTTGACATTACAGCTATGGACTCCTTGAAATTCTCTTCCCTGTGGTCCGTGATACCACTGCCCCTGGTTCACTTTAAGTCTATGTACCCCACCTTCTCTTTCTCCTTTAAAGGGCCCTTTTCTCACTAGCTCTTAATTGTTAATATTCACGAGGATTCCATCTTAAGCCTTCCCTACAATATATAAACGTGCTTAAGCTTGTATCATCTTTATGATGATGTACAAGAAATACAGAATTTCTTTTATCTTGTGTTGCCCTTTAAGCTACTACTACCTTATCAGTTAACATTACGTTACAGCTGTGTCAATATACTTAGTTCTTTTTCTAAAATCTAAAGACAGCAAGATTTCAGAAATCCCTTTCTGGAATACATTCCAGAACTTTATATACCAGTTTTTCAGTTTGCCTATTCTGCACAAGTCTTCCTGTATTATTGAGACAACATTATTTTATTCTCTGCTGACTCTCAGTACACTTCTGTTAGAGCACTTAATTACAGTTTGCTTTGTATTATATGTATATTTCTACCTCACTGACTAGAATGTGGGTTTTTTTTGAGGGCAGGGAAAAACATTAAAAAAAAATATTTTTAGGGACACCTGGATGGCTTAGTCAGTTAGGTGTTTGACTCTTTTTTTTTTTCTTATGTTTATTATTTTGAGAGAGATAGTGGGTGGGGGGGGTGCGAGGGGGCAGGCAGAAAGAAAGGGAGACAAAGAATCCCAAGCAGGCTCTGTGGTATCCGACTCTTGATATTGGCTCAGGTCCTGATCTCAGGGTCGTGAGATTGAGCCCTTCTTCAGGCTCTGCACTGAGCATGGAACCTGCTTGGGATTCTGTCTCTCCCTCCTCCACCCCCTTTCTCTGTCCCTCCCCCACATGCACATGTGCGCGCACACACACACACACACACACACACACACACACTCTTTTTCTTAAACACTTAAAAAAAATCCTTTTAGTGGAACAGGGCTCTCTTTCATGTCTTACATCTAATATGCAATAAATGCTGGTTGAGGTTTATTTTCTGGTCGTGTTGTTTTGTTTGTCATGGGGAGAAACCTAGTGCACTATAGTGGTATAGACAGGAGACTTGGGGCATCTAGATAGGCAGCTGTACTATAGTTAGAGTAGCAGTGGACTGATAAAGTAGTGGACATTGTGGTTGTTCCATTAGGAGGATAAAAAACGATATTGTTGCCATACAGCTAGTAGCTTTAGAGATAATGGAAGGAAGAAAGTACAGGTAGTTGATCACATAAATTACACATGAGCACAGTTAATAGGATGTTAATCAGTATGTTCTCAACTACAGGTAACAGAAAACTTGCAAACGGCTTAGCTATACAAAATTTCCAAGTAAAGATGCAAGGATACAGAATTTCTAAGTAAGGCATTTCCAGGTTGCTCGATGATACCATGGACCCAGATTCCTTCTAATATTTTTTCTGTGCTACCATCCTTATAAATGAGCGTGTCTTCCTAAACTGGCTCCCCTGTGGCTCAAGATAGTTGCCACACTCCAAGCATCACTTTAAATGAATGTCTCAGGGTAGAAAGGGAGCGTTCTTAGTAAGAGCCCAAGCCCACTTTTAAGAGTGAAGAAAACCTCAGAAGTATTCTCTGCAGACTTACTGCACACTGGCCAGTTAGATGCCCATCCCCTATACTTGTCACATGGCAAAAGAAATGCGAGCATTACCTGAGTGAGAATTTGTGATCAGTACAAATGTGTAGGCCTCACCCCAGACATAAACTAAATTAAGAAAGAAACTTTGGGAGTGGTGGGTGGAACACACAATTCTGCATGTTAAGTAGCAATTCAGTTACTTTGGATGCACACAGAGTTTGAGAACCACTGGCTTAGAGTAAATCAAGATTCATCCCATCGGTCTGGCAAAAGGTCTAGCCTCCCCTAAAGGACATTACTGCCAGGAAGAGAGGGGAGGGAAGGAACGGATGTTGGATATGCAACCAAAACTGTGTATGCAGTTGTTCAGGGAGTAAGACCTTTCTTAGCCTCAGCTATCACAGCTGCTCTCCCTACCCCTTTTTATTTTCTCTCTGGGCCTTCAGACTGCATGCTAAATTGCCTGCTTAGTCTCTGACGCAACAAACTTATACCTCCAAAATATAACCTCTTTGTTGTTTCTGGTTATCGTACTACCACTTAATGAGCCTAAAAAATGCTTTTAAGTTAATAGACTTTGTAACAGATTTCAAAAAATATACATTAATAAATGTTTTCAAAAATAAATAAAAATAAATGTATTCCTTCTTATAATTTTATTGTTTCTTTCTAACTATAATAACATTTTGCTTTTTGATAGGTTTCTTAAAAGACAGAAGAATGGAGGAATCAGTGAACCAAATGCAACCACTGAATGAGAAGCAGATAACCAATTCTGAAGATGGATATGTATGGCAAGTCACTGATATGAATCGACTACACCGGTTCTTATGTTTTGGTTCTGAAGGTGGGACTTATTATATCAAAGAACAAAAGTTGGGCCTTGAAAATGCTGAAGCTTTAATTAGATTGATTGAAGACGGCAGAGGATGTGAAGTGATACAGGAAATAAAGTCATTTAGTCAAGAAGGCAGAACGGCAAAGCAAGAGCCTATGCTCTTCGCACTTGCCATTTGTTCCCAGTGTTCCGACATAAGCACAAAACAAGCGGCATTCAAAGCTGTTTCTGAAGTTTGTCGCATTCCTACACATCTGTTTACTTTTATCCAGTTTAAGAAAGATCTAAAGGAAAGCATGAAATGTGGCATGTGGGGTCGTGCCCTCCGGAAGGCTATAGCAGACTGGTACAATGAAAAGGGGGGCATGGCCCTTGCTCTGGCAGTTACAAAGTATAAACAAAGAAATGGCTGGTCTCACAAAGATCTATTAAGATTGTCACATCTTAAACCTTCCAATGAAGGTAAGCATAACAACCTTTGGGTTGGGGGAAGTTGCAAATACCGATAAATAGAACAATTTTATTTGAAACAGGCTTTCATTTAAAAGCCTGTGTTTCATTCTCAAAACACATTGGTTGACTAATTCAAATGTTTAATACTACCTTGGAATTAAACACCTACCACAGGCAATCTGGACATTACTAATCAAGAATCAAATGACAGATTTACACATTAATTTAATATTCTAGATCTCACAGTGTCACTGTGCTAGCTAGCATGCTTACCCAAGTGATTACGGACTATGACAGCAGCATGGACGTGATGAAAGCTGTAGGAAGCAAAGCGGCTCCTAGCCAGTAGACAGCAGATAGCCAGGCTGTACTGTTCCAGCCCCTTAAGATTTTTCTTTCCCTCCCTGTCTTCCTAGGACATATGTTCCATGGAACCTAAAGGCTGCCTGAAATAGTGCTGAACTTAACAATTCAGGATGTTAATTGTCTCCAAGCAGTCAGCCAGGGGACATGGTAACTTGGGGCAGTTTTCTATGTCTATGGGAAGAGACTTTTGAGAAGTTAGTTGGATGTACAGTAATTACTTAGTCCTTCTTAGAAGGGAAATAAAAACTTTTGGGCAAGAAGAATGTAAAGTATAAGCATCCACAAAAATCAACATGTCCAAAATTTGCTTTTTTTAATACCAGAAATGAAACTTGAAAAGACAGCTCCTCATGAATTCCTAATTTATCATTTCTTATTATGAGTGGACTTTTTAAAATGAAATTTAAGCAGTAAATTGTTGCGAATATTTACATATACAAACACCTGGATGTTTTGTTTTTTTTATTAGAAATTACATGCTTGTTTTAAATAGCTGGATAATACATAAAAATATAATACAGAAAGTAGAATCCTGCCTCTCAAAAGAAATTACTATATACATTGTATATTACTCCAGATTTTTCCTAAAATACGTTGTTTTATTTAAAATTTTTTTATAGACCTCCTTTGGGTTTTTTTGTTTGTTTTGTTTTTAATGTTTATTTATTTTGAGGTGGAGGGGAGGGCCATAGAGAGAGGGAGACAGAATCCCAAGCAGGCTCTGCACTGTTTGCACAGAGCCCAGTGTGGGCCTTGAACCCGCAAACTGTGAGATCATGACCTCAGCCGAAATCAAGAGTCAGATGCTTAACCGACTGAGCCACCCAGGTGCCCCTAGACCTTGTTTCAGTTAAAAGCAGATTGGTATTTCTTCAAGTCAGTAGAAATAGTTGCAAATATACCATTGAATGAATACGCTATAATTTATTTGAAGACAGTTAAGTAGCTTCTGGGTTTTCATACTATTACAAAAATACAGAGAAAAAATGTGTATAACGTAAATATTTTTATAAAGACTAAACCCACAAAGAGTATGTAGAAGTGGCCAGTTTCCTGACATTTGAACAGTGACTATTACCAGTGGTTTTTAATCTTTGCCAATAGGATAGGTGAAAAATTATACCTTACTTGAATTTGTGTTTGTGGGCAAAAGTTTATCTTTCCATGTGCTGCTGCTGATTTGTAATTTGTTGCAGAGCATATTGTATCTTTGCCCTTTTACCCATTGAGTTGCTGTTCTTAATATTGATAGTCACTATTCATTCAACAAATGTTTATTGAGCACCTACTATGGATGGGCACTGTTCTAAGAACTTGGGACACTTAGGAATTAATAACATGTTATCATGCACTTTTCCCCCTTTTTTTCTTTGTCAATTTTTTTGATTGGGGTTTCTGGCACACTAAAGTTTGGAATTTTAATGTAATGAAACTTACGTGTTTTTATTCATAGATTTTTGTTTTCTGTTAGATTTAGAGCAGCCTTTTCCAACATAAAGTCATAAAAATATTTACCTGTGTTTTTTTCCTTAAAATATTCATGCTTTAATTTTTTACTTTTAAATTTTTGATTCAGTATGAGAAGAATGTAGGGATCCAGCTTTATTTGTCTGTTGAGACACGAGATGGTGGTGTGGACCTAAGTGCTAGTTCTAATTGGAAAAATTGGTTTCTGAATTTGTGCAAATGGTTATACTGGGTTTTGAATTCTTGGTTGATAAATTGAAGAATTAGTAAATGTTTCCTAAACTTGTTCCCACAGACAGTATTCTTTAATTCTAAATTTTTTGAGGGCAGAACTCATACTTAAAATCTGGCGGTCATAACAGAATGTTCAGGCATAAGAGATCCCTAGGCTTCTCAGAGTGAAAAGAATTTAGAATCAAACTCTAAGCCACCAAGTAAGTAATATTTTATTTTAAAAAAAAAGTTTTAGTTTATTCATTTTGAGAGAGAGTGAGCAGGGGAGGGGCAAAGAGAGAGGGTGAGAGAGAATCCCAAGCCAGCTCCACACTATCAGCACAGAGCCTGACATGGATGGGCTTGAACTCCGGAAATACAAGATCGTGACCCAACCCAAAACCAAGAGTCGGACACTTAACCAACTGAGCCACCCAGGCGCCCCCCAAATAAGTAAAATTTTAATATTTTGACCGAAATGTGTATTTAAAACAGATAAAACAAGTCAAAATATGATTTAATTAATCAGGTATTTATTGTGTACTTAACTGTGTGGCCACCATAGAATTTGGGTATGATAAAAATAAGAAGACTGCCTTTAAGAAAGTTTTATTTTAGTTGGAAAGACAAAATAGAAGACATGCTTACATATGAAACATTTAGTAATTTAAGGCAATATAAGATTTTGTACTAAAATCTGGAAGGTAACAAGTCACAGTACTTTACAAGTTTCTACATACTAATGTTGACTTTTGATCAAATTATTTAAATTAGAGACTAGGGACAACACATAAGCTCAATCTGCCTTAGAGATGGATTTTACTTGGCCTGCACAATATTTTAGAAAAAAAAATGAGGGACGCCTGGGTGGCGCAGTCGGTTAAGCCTCCGACTTCAGCCAGTTCACGATCTCGCGGTCCGTGAGTTCGAGCCCCGCGTCAGGCTCTGGGCTGATGGCTCAGAGCCTGGAGCCTGTTTCCGATTCTGTGTCTCCCTCTCTCTCTGCCCCTCCCCCATTCATGCTCTGTCTCTCTCTGTCCCAAAAATAAATAAACGTTGAAAAAAAATGAGTTCTTTGCTAATATCACTTTTAAAAAATCAGAAGATACATAAAAATACCTATCCTGGATACTTTTGAAAATACCCTTTTTGGCAGCACTAAGCCAAAACTTCACTAAAACATTTGTAGGGCATACTCACTAGTCCCACGGTCTTTTTTCTTTTTTTGAGTTTATGTATTAATTTTGAGAAAGAGAGCGAGAGCATGCGTGAGCAGGGGAGGGGTAGAGAGAGAGGGAGAGAATCCCAAGCAGGCTCCGTGCTATCAGTCCATGTGGGACTCGAACTCACAAACCAAGAGATCATGACCTGAGTGGAAACCAGCAGTTGGACGCTTAACTGACCGAGCCACCCAGACACCCCTCTAGTCCCATAGTCTTAACCACTCTTTATTATATAACCTGTTCCATTTGTTTATTTTACCAACATTTACCCCATAGACCTTTTTGAGTGTGATAACTCAAATCTCCCCTTCCACATTTTACAGAAGTAAAACCTAAGACCTGGAATGATCACACAGCCATCTATTGGCAGAATGTAGGCTAGAACCCAAATTTCCTCAGCCCCGCAATCAAGAACTCTTTCAACTATTAAAAGAAATTATAGGGGCGCCTGGGTGGCTCAGTCAGTTAAGCGTCCGACTTCAGCTCAGGTCACGATCTCGCGGTCCGTGAGTTCGAGCCCCACGTCGGGCTCTGGGCTGATGGCTCAGATCCTGGAGCCTGCTTCCGATTCTGTGTCTCCCTCTCTCTCTCTCTGCCCCTCCCCATTCATGCTCTGTCTCTCTCTGTCTCAAAAATAAATAAACGTTAAAAAAAAAATTTATAAAAATCAGAAAATGGAAACAAAATAAAATTTGAAAAAAAAAAAATTATAGAAGATGGGGCGCCTGGGTGGCTCAGTCAGTTAAGCATCAGCTCAGGTCACGATCTCACAGCTCATGGGTTCGAGTCCTGCGTCGGGCTCTGTGCTGACAGCTCAGAGCCTGGAGCCTGCTTCCAATTCTGTGTCTCCCTCTCTCTCTGCCTCTCCACAACTCACGCTGTCTCTCTCTCTCAAAAATAAACATTAAAAAAAATTTTTTTTAAGAATTTATAGAAGAAATGAACACATTGTTTTCCTTTTTTTAATTTGGACTGTAATACTTTATCTTTAAAAAATTACAAATTACCTACCTAACTGTCCACTTCCACTTACCTCTGCTATTTATAAATGCTTATTTATTTAGCAGCAGAAAGGGACAAGTGAAAGGAGATTAACTGAGACAGATCTGTACTTTTGTGAATTTTCTGAGATTGTGAACCTGAGATAGGTATTGTCTACCCAAGTTTCTAGTGCTGGTGTCTCAAAAAGAAAAAAAAAGGTTTATCATAAAATGACTAATGGTATAAGAGACTTTTCTCCAGAGCTACTTTTAAAACAATTATGATGGATAAGCAAAATCATTTGACTCCATTGGCTTGAATGTGTTTGTTATATCACAGAAAGCAGCCTCACAGCTTAAAAGGTTAAGCTCCTCTGTGTCTAGTTATGTATATCCCATACCATATTCTCATGCTGTTTGACTTCTTTATTTTCTTAAAGGACTTGCTATTGTAACCAAATATATTACAAAGGGCTGGAAAGAAGTCCATGAATTGTATAAAGAAAAAGCACTTTCTGTGGAGACTGAAAAATTATTAAAGTATCTGGAGGCTGTAGAGAAAGTGAAACGCACAAAAGATGAACTGGAAGTCATTCATCTAATAGAAGAGCATCGATTAGTTAGGGAACATCTTCTAACAAATCATTTAAAGTCTAAAGAGGTAAGTGGCTTATAGTATGCATGTGATTAAGCATGAGTAATTTGATATGTATCAGGTATTATAATTTATGCTATTTATAAAAATAATTTATGACATGTGATTTATATGGATAACTATACATTCAGTTCTTTTTAACAAAAATCTAAAATACATCTTGAGATTAATATTTATTTAAAACACTTAATACAATGTCCAGATGGAGTTTGCATTCTGTTAAGTGTTATTTCTGCTTCAGAAAGGCTGGTTAATTTGCCTTGTTAATTAAAAAGAAATAAAATTCTTCTATGTGATTCCTTCGTAAAATAGACTTCACTTTCTTACTCTAGTGAAGAGCAAGTTAATTTGATAAGTCTTTGACCAATGCACACAAATTTTTATTTTAGAAATACTTTGAACCCCATAAGAAAACCTTAAAGAATATATTCTTAATATTATACAGTTAACATATTGATTCATTTCCTCTCAATTCCTTACATTTCAATCTATGTTACTGCAATAGGTATGGAAGGCTTTGTTACAAGAAATGCCTCTTACTGCATTACTAAGGAATCTAGGAAAGATGACTGCTAATTCAGTGCTTGAACCAGGAAATTCAGAAGTATCTTTAGTATGTGAAAAACTGTGTAATGAAAAGTTGTTAAAAAAGGTAAGTATTGCCTTTGTTAGCTACTACTAATTGAAAAAGTCAGCACCTAAGTTTTGGAACTGTAGTCAGTAGAGTTTTAGGTGTTCTGAAACTTATCATACCAAATTTCATTTTGACTTTGAAATCTAAGATTAATATGTCCTCATTTTTTCTTTATGAAACTTATTTATTAGCTACAATAACAAAACCTAAAGACATAATGGGTATTTTTCATTTGATTTTTGATTTTCTTTTTGTCTCTGTCTTGTTTCTAGGCTCGCATACATCCATTTCATGTTTTAATTGCATCAGAAACTTATAAAACAGGTCATGGGCTCAGAGGAAAACTGAAGTGGCTCCCTGATGAAGAAATTTTAAAAGCTCTGGATACTGCTTTTTATAAAACATTTAAGGTAATGGTTTGACTTTTCATTTCATAACAAATGACCCAATTTGGACTTCATATATTTTATAAAAGCACATTTTAAAGATGATACTTACAGTTTAACCTTTTTTGATTAGATATTCATGTGTTTTTCCATAGTTCATGTAAATGTGGATATATAGTTAACATTGTAAGCTTAAGAATTTCTCCTCACCTTTGGATGATACCCAATTATCTTATCATTTTGATAAGTTTTGAAATACCAAATTTAAATTTTTTTATTCCTGTAGAGTCCTTTGACTTGGTCCTCTGTCATTCTGTTAATCAGTAGGGCATCTCTTCTGTCTTTATGGGAAGTGATTTTTTTTTTTTAGGACTGAAAATCCTACATTAAAGCCATAAGTTAAAATTTTTGGTTTTAAAATATTCTGGCCATTCAGCAAAATAGTAGCAACTAGGGGCATCTGGGTGGCTCAGTCGGTTAAGCATCTGACTCTTGATCTCAGCTCAGGTCATGATCTCACAGTTTGTGAGTTCGAGCCCCACAATAGGCTCTGTGCTGACAGCTCAGAACCTGCAGCCTGCTCCGGATTCTGTCTCCCTCTTGCTCTCTCTCAAAAATAAATAAAGAAAAAAAAAAAAAAAAAGGCCAGACATTTTCAAATACTTGTCAATTGGTAAATCAAAAATAAGACCTGTTATCTTAGAAGTCTGAGTGAAAGATAAGTAAATGCGAGTTTTAGAAATTTAATTTTAATTTCTATGGTTGTTTTTCATGATTATTTGTTTTGGTTTTCTTTAGACAGTGGAGCCTACTGGAAAGCGTTTCTTGCTGGCTGTCGACGTCAGTGCATCGATGAACCAAAGAGTTTTGGGCAGTGTGCTCAACGCTAGCACAGTTGCAGCAGCAATGTGTATGGTGAGAACCCCTAAGGCCATTTCAGGATTTTTGCCACCCTAAAAAATGTTTAATGTGGGACAAAACTGTGAAGGTAGATAATGATCAAGGATTATATTTTCATTTGTTTCTGTCATTCCATTTTATCTGGCACATTTTTATTTCAGTTAAATACTTCATATCTAAATATAATTAAAAATAAAGTTTTGAGTATACTGTATGCATATGGTAATGTAGGTATATTTATAAAGCTTTCAAAGATGAATTTTAAGAAATTCAAGATACTGTATTTGTTTTACCCTAATCTGCTAAAATTTACCACCTTTGAATTTTTCAGGTTGTCACACGAACAGAAAAAGATTCTTATGTAGTTGCTTTTTCAGATGAAATGGTACCTTGTCCAGTGACTACAGATATGACATTACAACAGGTTTTAATGGCTATGAATCAGGTAAAGAACAGTTTGGTTAAGTTTACTTAACATGTGTTATATAATAACCTTATATTGATGTCGTGACTGATACTAGTAAATTCATGAGAACAAATTGTTTCATCTCAATTTCTCATGAGCACAAAATAAAAATACACACTTTGAGAAGGTCTGTGTATTGGCTCTAAGTAAAGTGATAATGTAAAAAATAGTATTTTTAAATATTTAATTATTTCAGACATCTCAGTATGGAAACTAGGGCACTTTTATTCTAATCCATGTTTTTGTTTTGCATTAGATCCCAGCAGGTGGAACTGATTGCTCTCTTCCGATGATCTGGGCTCAAATGACAAACACAGCTGCTGATGTCTTCATTGTCTTCACTGATAATGAGACCTTTGCTGGAAGTGTCCATCCTGCTGTTGCTCTGAGGGAGTATCGAAAGGTAACATTTTAAGTATTCTTTCATCCCAAAATAAGACACAGTTCTCAAATATTCACTGTTTTTCCAAAAACTGATACCAAAGATAAGTCTATAGCTTTGTATAGGAATACACGCCAGTTCTGAATGCAGCAGCTCTTGAAATAAAAAGTATTGGCTATACATACATGATTTATTTCAACTAATTCCAATTCTATACATTACTAAAAACATCCTCTTTAAACTGCTTTTGGTAACAATCAAAATAAAGTATCATTTGTGAGTTTTGTTAAAGGATGACATAAAATTAAAGCAAAGCTATAATCTCTGTTTTAAGTTTTATGGTTGCTTCTTTGTTCTAATCAGTGCTCTCCAACTGAGCTCTCTGAAATCATGGAAATGTTATCTCCAGTATCCATTGTGGTAGCTACTAGTCACATGTGGCTGTTGAGCACTTGAATTATGGCTAATGTGACTGGAAAAAGAAACAAATTGCTGAAGAGCTCCGGTTCTCGAAAGGTGTTTTTCCTACCAGCAGCTTGGCCCGGGATCTTGTTAGAAATGCAAATTCCTGGACCCTATAGGAGACCTGCTGAATCAGAAACTGGAGAGTCAGACTGTGTTTTAACAAAACTCTCCTAGGGATTCTGATGTATAAGTATGAGAACAAGTGAGAGAAGAGAATTTGGAGTCAAGGCAGCCTGGGTTTTGAGTCTCTTTTACCCATTGTGGATCTAAGCAAATTATTTAACTGATGTATGTCATTGTAGTATATTACTACTATAGTATAGGTCTTAGTAGTTAATAGTACTACTCACCAGAGTGCCTGGGTGGCCCAGTCGGTTAAGCATCTGACTCTTGACTACGGCTCAGGTCATGATCTCATAGTTGTGGGTTCGAGCTCCGCGTCAGGCTCAGTGCTGACAGTGTGAAGCCTTCTTGGGATTCTCTCTCTCCATCTGTCTCTACCCCTCCCCCCACAAAATAAATAAACTTTTAAAAAAAGTAGTACTACTTACCTTTTAGAGTTGTTAAAACAATTAGATAAATTACTTAAAGAGCTAATTATAGTTTCTGACATAGTGCATACTCAGTGATTGTTGGGCTTTCTCCAAAAATCAATTATTTTAACCTTAAGTTATAGCTATAGAAAACAGGGTCTTACATGTGACATGTGTATGTTATATATATAATAAAATCATAGATCTAACATTGTTAATCATCAGGAAATACCTCTTTACATATACCCACACACATTGGCCCCACTGTTTGATATGTTGGTAAAAATATCTGATGCCCCCAAGTAATCCTGACAGGTTTCATAAGTAGAAAGTCTCTAGGCTGCTCAGGAATGTACTCTGGCCCACAGAACAGAAGCAGGAATTTCAGGCAGATTGTTCACACAACTTTATTTTTTGTTTTTCTGAAATCACAGAGTCTGACTGAAAGATGAACAGATTTTATGGAGAAAAAAAAAGATTGACTTTGTAATGAAAAGCTAGATAGAATTTGAAGTGTTTTAACTTTGGAGGTTATTTGCTTTTGCTTGCATACAATTTTTTAATATGTATTTTGATCTTCCTACAGAAAATGGACATTCCAGCTAAATTGATTGTTTGTGGAATGACATCAAATGGTTTTACCATTGCAGACCCAGATGATAGAGGCATGTTGGATATGTGTGGCTTTGATACTGGAGCTCTGGATGTAATTCGAAATTTCACATTAGATGTGATTTAACCATAAGCACCAGCATGATCTAAGAGGTCCATTGCCATCAGTGATCTCGCTAAAAATATGTAGCTACTTCCCAACTGATCTTACTTAATCCAGTGATGATAAGATGATAGTATAGGATGTGCGTATGTTACCAAAAAACAAAAACAAAAAGGAAGGAAAAATAAGATGAGCCCAAAGTTCTGTCTACTAAACTAGCTCTTGGGAAATAGCTTCAGCATACACTGTAGCTCCTTCTGTCTAACAGAGAACTTCTTATTGATAGATACCATAAAATAGTCAAACAGTTTTGCTGTGGTTAATAATTACATTTATACTTAAAAGAAGTAAGAGCCAAAAGTGTAAGTAGTTCCACATCATGTCACTTGTTTGAGAAGTGCTTAAAATTTTCTTCAATGTTTGCATTGGAAAAGGACAGCTTTGGTAATGTCCAAATACTCTGAAATGCACTGGACCATGTAACTGTGATGGAATATGAAATTCATCTGTAAATTTTTATACCAAGGGGTTTTAAAAAAAAAAAAGACATTTGATTAAATTATGAATGAGTTTTACAGATTCCTTGGAGTTTTCTAAGATCACATAAATAGCAGCTTTCATACTCAATGAAAAAGATACTTTGAATCTGATATTTTTACACTTGTAGGATTGTTAACATTAACAAGAAACATGGTGGAGACCCCTGAGAAGAGACTATAAAGTTTGTGTCAGGTGAGGGTCTATCTGGTTTACGTTTTGTTTGTTTTGGTGCATTTTATTGCTGTGAGCGGGGCATGACTTCACAATTTTTGCTAAAATGTAACATATCCACATGTAATCACACTTTTTTCTCACACTCTTAAATGAAAAGGACATACAATGTTTTAATCATTTAACTCTCCCACTCATAAATCTGAAAGTATGACCATTAGACTCTCAACTATAACCAGATTAGCTTTTTCCTTTAAAATAAATATCATTCTAATTACCTTTATTTTTTTAGCCAATTGTAAATGGGTTTTAGATATTTCCTAATTGTAAACATGTCAGTGACATATCTTTTTGTCCATTCATTTGTGACAAAACATTCTTTTTTGACAGTGTAAAAAAAATAATAAAGCAAGCTAGGTCTTTCAGGTTTGAAAGTCAACTTTTGAGTAACATTATCTCTAGTCTGTAAGAAAATTTTTTTCTATTTTATTTGTGTATAAACCTTTTCACTACACTAAAGTGCATTATTTTCTTAAGCAAATGTCCCTTCTTTCTGGGGTGGTTTAACCTATTGAAATGCCAATATCTCTGCTCAGAATTATATCATGGTTGTTTAAGAGAACATAAAACTTCAATATTTATGTACTTTTCATAATAATGATTTATTGAGGATTTATAATGCTCTTCTCACTGTGATGGGAAAGTCAGACTAGTAAATGTAAATTATGGCCTTTTGTGTACTTAGGAATTACAGGTTTTGTTTGGAGCACCAAGGGGAAACTTTAGTAGTGTTAGAATTTGTGAAGAGATCTTCTGTTTTATAAGAAATTTGGGCTCTGGAAGTGACAAGAAAATGGTCCCTTTCAAACTTACTTGACATACTAATGCTGGCTCTATTACGTAGCCATTCCGCTGGTAGCAGTTTGCAAGTATGATTTATCTGAGATTTTTTTTGGTCAGCAAAGTAGTGCACACACCCCACCACCACCTCTATACTTTGCTTCTGGTGTCACTCTGCCAAGCATTGGATGTAAGGTGTTAGCTACATTTGATACATTAAAATATATGTTCAGATTGAATTTAAAGTTTAAAGAGCCTATTATATAATAGTATTTGGAGTTTCAAAGTAAACCCAAGATCTTAAATTAAAAATGACAACATGATCTAACTTTATTCCTAATAGAAATGTTAACTGGAATAAAGCATAAAAGTTTCTTTCCTTCAGTTATGTACTGGTCATATAGTGCTTTTAGGTGTTCACAAGCTAACAGTAATATTCAGTCCATCAGAGAAGATTAGATGTCACCTTTTTGAAATATTTAGATACATACAATTAACTGGATTAGGGTAAGATTTAGGGAAGAAAAAAAATATAAAGGAGGCCATTATAGAAGGTAACTTTATTTTCAAATCATGAAGTTTTAGAGCTGGAAGAAACCTTAGAAATTTTTAAAAGTTAATTTTTATCTGTAGCCTAGGGATCCAAGGTCTAAGAGAGTATGGCTTTGGAGCACTAAATCTAGCAATCTGGGCTCTTCATTCCCATTCCAGAATTCATCTCCCTACAAAATGGGTGACATAAAATTATTCAAGACTTTTATCTTTTTAGGTATTAGGAAATAATGTATATATATGATTGGTTTAGTAGTAGAAACACAAATTGTGAACATGTATACTTTTATAGTTCATAGTAACTCTCAAGCACAATTAATGTCTTAATTAATAACTTGTGTTGCTATATATAACATAGTCCTATAGAAAAAAATTTAAAACTTTACCTCATTATGAGTAAAATGTACTCAAGTGATAAAGAAGTTTTATTTTCTGAGTTACTTTTAGGATTATTGCTACATTAACATTTATGGAAATGTTGCTTTTAAAATCAATCCTAAGAAAAACAACTAAACTTTATTTCCTAGAAAATATGTAAATATTTTCAGGATATAGTTGTAATTAGTGAAACTAAAACTAATCTTAAAATCCTACCATTCCTTATTAGTTGAAACCTCCTGAAAATTCCATTAACACTATTATATATTGTTTAGTTTAGTTTTATGGGAACATTAGTGAGGAAGATGCCAGTGAGTGGAATTTAGTGTTACCTCTTTAGAACCTCTTGCTTTATCTAACTTACTATGTGAATGTAGACAACCAATTTAACTTACCAATTTTGTTATCTTTAAAATGTAACCTACATGATGATTGGATCTTAGAAGAATCAACTATTTAATATCTATATAGAAGTTTAAATTAGGAGGAGGGCTTGCAATACAAATTAGAAATTTTTTTAATTAAAAGCATTCTTCACAGGAGTTAACATATTTTGAACAAATGTTTAGAAAAATATTCAGTAGGCTCAGTAATTTGTCATTTTAACAAATTTCCTGTTCTGAATGGGAAAATGTGAAAGAAAAACGTTTATTATAGTGAAGGTGAGTGTTGACTAAGAAGTCAGTATTTTCTGGTCAGGAGAAAAGAACATATTCCGAGTCTCAGATCCGCCTGGATAGACCTAGAAGAAAAACTTATAGTCTAAGTGAAGAAACTATTAATAAGCATTTGATTAATCTTTTAACAGGTAAATCCACAAATGATAGAATATAATTTCATCAGGCTTTTCCCCTCATTTTATGAGATTTTGCAGAAATAATATAAGATCGTTCTGGAAATTTAAGGCACAATTCCTGAATGAGTCAGAGGATCTGACATTTCAGTGCAGAACATTTTTAAAAGTACATCTAAACCGTAATTGAAGGGAAATTATTGTGATCACTTACTGGAAGTGCCGTAATTTGACCTAAAGATCTCATACCCACAAAGAAAAATGTCTTAAAAAGTGATGCCCTTACAGTAAGTTACCAAAAATGAATTTCTGTTCTTGTATACCACAGGTTTGGGGTGACTGGTTAAGGCAGTATCCTCTCTAGAGAAATGTCATACGAGCTCATGGTAAACATACACAAGGAAGAATTAGAAAGAAAAAAAAAAGATAACACTATGAATTTAGTTGTATTTACTGTACAGATTTTATTTAGTATTTTCCTATTATCTGCTCCCTAATCTTATTTGTTGGAAAATTACTTTTATACCTCATTTTTTCTTTTAAAATTACTTTATTCTCACATTTGTGTCCTCTCTCATCCTGCTCTCACCTGGGTAATAAAATGAATGACACAAAAATCACACATAGTTAGGTTTGGGATGAATCTTTTTGCAGATCTCCATTTGCTCAATATAGATTTAAGATCATATTTTTTCAAATTAATAATGGGCAGGTCTCTAGGAACAATAATTGGATTAGTATGTTTTCTCCCCAAATCAAGTTACATTGTATATCCTTTGTGTTAGATGTTTGCAGAAATTTTGTGGCCTTTGGGTAAGATTATTCAGCCATTGTTTGCAATTATAGATCTAATTTGCTCTTAGAAAAATAATTAACTGAATACTCTGAGCACATCTCCATGCTCATATTTCCATATAATGATCACTTTCAAATCTTTCATCTAAGTACTTCACTGAGCTTATATATACATCTTTTGTAGCATAAAAGATCTTGTAAATAACTTGTATTCACATTTAACATTTCTTTAATTGGTAAGTTTATTTGCTTTTGAAAAATTAGGAAGTTAATTTAAAATTCTATGGTAATATTTTTTCATGTAGAAATTTAATGTAGTTAAGCATACTGTTTGAATAAAATTATAATGTGACACATTTTCCTAAACCCTGAAAGTGTCAAATTATATTGGAAATTGGTAGAAAAATAAACTGAAGGAGTTACATTGCAACATCCTATTACTACAATTAAGGCATTTATTTTCAATGATTATGAATTTTGTAAATACAATGGAAATACACAAGAGCTGTTTCTGAGCCTAAAGAGATTTTTCCCTTTGCTTCTATTTAATTTAGCACCACCATGTATCATATTAACTTTATGAACACAATTGATACTTAATTTTAAAATATATTTAGATTTCTGTACTTTTAGAAGTTCAGTAAGAAAACTGAACAAAACAAATGGTAAGTTAACTACATTTCTGCTGGTTTCACTTAATGAACACTTGGATGGTTGAGGTAGTAAATGAGGTAAAACCTTGCTATTTTATGTATTATTACCACATAAAATTGATGAATATTGAAACTTATGTTTAAAATACTTATTAGGCTTTATTTGCAATGTAAACTTTAGAATCTATATACAGCCAAATTAAGTTTAAAATATTATACAATGAATAGTAATCAAAAATGTTTCTGTTGCTCTATTTTAAATATGGACTATACGTAATGTGTCTTGGTATGACTAAACAAAGCTTTTGTAATGCATTTGAGTTACATTTTCTAACTTTATTGCCAGCTTCTGATAATGAAGAAATTCTCCAAAGGGATTGAAATCCTCTTTTTAAAAAAAATTGGTTGGGGGAAGGGTGTTATAATCTAGTTCGAAACTGTCCATTTGCTTTATATAAAGGCTTTGATTTCCATAAATGACCACTTACTATTTAAATTACACAGAATAATGCCTGCATAGAATAAC